TGTGGGTGTAGGGGCCCAAGGACTTGAGCCATCTTCTACTGCTGTTCCAGGCCACAGAAGAGAGCTGGATTGGAAGGGGAGCAGCCAGATCGCAAACCGGCGCCCATATGGGATGCTGGCACTCCAGGCCAGGGCGTCAACTCGCTGTACCACAACACTGGCCCCTGTTTTTCAAAATTAATTATGGAATCAAAGAGTCACTTATAGCCTGAGAACCCCCACATCTCATCCATGAAGTCACCGACTTTATTTGCTTTTATATTTTAAAGATTTTTTATTTCTTTTTTTTAATTTGAAAGAGAGATAAATATTTCTGTCATACCTTTATGTATCATTTTGTTTCAACTCATTCTGTATATTAGTTGACTCTCTTATGAAATAACATTATTCTTCCCTAAATGAAGGTTTGGGCTAGGATATTTGGAAGGGAGAGAGTTTATTTCAAAGCTTATCTTAGAAATGGGCAGTTCACCATCAGTTAAAACACTGGCTAAAATGCCTGCATCCCATGCCTGGGTTTGATATCCAGCTCTGGCTCCTGAGTCCAGCTTCCTGCTATGGAGATCACTGGAGACATCAGTGCTGAGTCAATTAACTGGCGTCAGTCACCCTTCGGAGAACCTGGATTGAGTTCCCAGCACTTGACTTCTGCTCAGCCCCGCCCATTTGTACGTGTTTGGAGAGTAGACCAGCAGATGGCAACTTTGTCTTTATCGCTCTACCTCTCAAATAACAAAATTTTTAAAGCTTATTTCAAAAGCTTAGTTCAGAGGGAGTACATTCAGGAAACTTCTGTGTACTTGAAATTCCCTACAAGTTTATGTCTTTTTTTTTATTTTCAGATGAATAAATTAATGTCCTTAACTTCTGAGTGTCTTATCCAAGATCATATAGCTACTTAATGGAGGAGATGAAGCAGCAGTCAGCTCTTTTGCCTTGGGTTCAGGTGTTCTATCAGACTACCCTCTTACATTTTATCTTCTGTGTGAATCATTTGGTAACTTGCCTGTGTGGCATCTCTCCATGGTGCTAGAAGTGTGGACATGTACTTGCTACTGTGTTCTATCTTAAGGAACTTCTTGTTGCTTTGTCCCCCCTGCCCCTATATACTGGTAGAATTTTTTTTTTTATTAAAAAAAGAAAACCTCAATATGTCTTTTCTTTAATTTATGTAATTTACTTCCTAGAAAGCATATTAATTAATCTCCAATATAGTTTCTTATTAGCGTTCCTTAAATTACTTCACCAAAACTCTAATGAGTTGTACTTAAGGAATAATGTCTAATGGTCAGAGGTATTAGAAGTGTAGATTGAATGCCTTCATTACTTCAGTATAGTTTACTGTTGGTGTTTTAAGCCCGTGTTTTATACAGACTTGTACAATTTTTGGTTGTTCAGTTGGGTGGCCCATTAGAAATCAACTCTAAACTATATGAGGAAAAGTGATAGTGCAAATCTGATCTACAAACCAGAAATACTGAATTGCTTATAAATGCATGTATCAGTCCTTTTATCTAAAATTTTTTTATTTTGAATTTTTTTTGAAATTATAGACCCAGAGGAAGACACCATTTCATTATCCTTTTCTTCTCATTATTAACATAAGTCAGATGTAATCTAATTTTTCTAAAGGAAATGAAAAAAATTTTCCTGCTTTACATTTGGCCTTTTGAATTGCAAATGTAATACATATAAATACAACAATTTAGGTAATACAGAATTTTAAAAACAAAATTTTCCTACTTACTTCTTGTAATAGAACAACATTTTGTTTAATTGTCCACGTGTTTTATTTTTCTCATGAAACAAAAATATGTACATATAGACAGGGTTTAAATATTTATATGGAAATAGTTGCATATTAATTTTAGTCTTGTTCATTAAGAAAGAAGCTACAGAATAGACATCTTCCTGAGTCAGCACACATGGCTGTGCCATAATTCCTCTGTTGATGGACAGTGTGTTGCTTGCAGTTTACTACTCTTAGAATCAGTGCTACAAAACACAGCAAAATGCTTGAGTATTTGTGTAGGAGAATTTTTTTTTTAAGATTTATTTTTTATTTAATTTGAACGAGTTAGAGGGAGAGACAGAGAAAGTTCTTCCTTCTGCTGGTTCACTCTCCAGATGGTCACAAGGGCCAGAGTTGTGCCAAGCTGAGGCCAGGAATCAGGAGTTTCTTCTGGAACTCCCACATAGGTGCAGGGACCTGAGCGCTATCCTCAGTTGTTTCCCAGGCACATTGGCTGGATCAGAAGTGGAACAGCCAGGAATCAAACTGGTGCCCATATGGGATGCTGGCACTGCAGGTAGCGGTTTAACCAACTAGTCACAAAGCAGGCCCTGCAGCTAGGACTTAAAGATGGAATCCTGGCTACACCACTTAAGAGTTCTTTGACTAAATGCAAAGTAGTATGCTCTCGTTTCCTCTTTTTATATTAAATTAAATTTTATTTGAAAGAGTTAGAGGAGAGATTGATCGATGGCTCTTTGACCCCCTGGTTCGCAATAGCCAGGCCCAAGTCAGGGGCTGGGAGCTTCATCCAGGTCTCCCACGTGGGTGCAGGGGCCTAAGCACTTGGACCATCTTTCTGCTGCTTTCTCAGGCTCATTAGCCAAGAGCTGGATCATAAGTGGAACAGCCGGGAATCAAATTGGTGCCCATATGGGGTGCTGGCATTGCAGGTGGCAGCATAACCAGTTATGTCACAACACCAGTCCTCTTCCATTTCCTCCTGTGAAGAGGGAGTAGATCAGCGATAATGTGTACTTTCCAGGGAAACTAACTTCTTTGACAGGCTAAAGGGGGAAAAATTCTATGTTACTGTTGACTAACTGAAGAAGTGGAATATCTTTTCATGTATTTTAATCACTTGTAATTCTTTTGTGAACCACCCATCATACACTGCTCTCATTTTTCCTTTTTACTTACTTGCCTTTTTCTTATTGCTTTGTAAGATTTCTTTATATATTCTGGGCATTAACTCTTCATGTATATTGTGAATATAATAGCCTTTACTCTTACAGTTGCCTTTAATTAGTTTTTGTTTTTTCTTTATATGCTAAGTCAATTGTATCCTTTTATAAGCTTTTGAGTTTTTGGTTTGGGAAGGGACCCCTTGGAAGGATTTCTGTATCCCAAGATTATTTTTGATTGATTTTTTCTTCTAATACTTGAACAGTTTATTTCAATGTTAGCTTCTTTAGTTAGATCATTTGAGATTTATTTTGATTGCAAGGTAAGCTTGATACACACCCATGTGTTTTTTTCTAGAGGGTAGTCTAATGTCCCAGTATTATTTATAAAACTGTCCATTTTATTTTGATTTGTAATATGTTTATTTTTAAAGATTTATTTTATTTATTTGAAGGTACAGGGAAAGGTAGAGACAGAGAGAGAGGTCTTCCATCTGCTGGTTCACTCCCCAAATGGCTGCAACGGCTGGAGTTGAGCCTATTTGAAGCCAGGAACCAGGAGTTTCCTTCAGCTCTCCCATGTGGGTGCAGGGGCCCAACCCTTCCTGGGCCAGTAGCAGGGAGCTGGATTGGAAGTGGAGCAGCTGGGACACAAACCAACACCCATGTGGGGTGCCAGCACCACAGGCTAGGGTTTTAACCCACTGTGCCACAGCACCAGCCCATATAACTTTTATTAAATATTAAAATCACATAAATTCATATATCTGTATCTAGATTCTTTAGAAATTCTTTAGATTCTTTTAAATGACTAGTTTTCTAGTACAGTTAGGTGTCTGATAAGGCAAATTCCCATTTTTTAAAGATGCTTTAAAGTGATTCTCATGCATTTATTCCTATGTAAACTTAAGAATCAGTTTGACCAATTATGTAAATACCACTGTGACTTTGATGGGACTTACATGGATTACAGATTAGTTTGTAAGCTCCCAGCTTTTAACCTAAGATAGTGATTTCATATAACAGTGATTTTAGGGGGGCTGGCACTGTGGCCAAGTGGGTAAAGCCACCACCTGCAGTGTCGGCATCCCATACAGGTGCCAGTTCGAGTACTGGCTGCTCCACTTCCAATCCAGCTCTCTGCTATGGCCTGGGAAAGCAATAGAAGATGGCCTAAGTCCCACCTTTGTGGGAGACCAGGGAGAAACTCCTGGTTCCTGGCTTCGGATCAGTGCAGCTCCAACCATTGTGGCCATCTGGGGAGTGTACCAGCAGATGGAAGACCTCTCTCTCTCTTTCTGTAATTCTGCCTTTCAAGTAAATAAATAAATAAATTTTTAAAAACTGATGTTAGCTTAAATTGCTGCTTAAAATTTTTTACTATCCATAGTCTTAAATATGTTATTTAATTAAAGAAAAAGTTTGAGATATAAAGATCTGTCCTTGTCCCTCTTAGTGTTTCTTTTAGGCTTTTTGTAGCATTACCATAAGTATGCTTTTGGCTAATATCTGTTTATTTTCCCATAAGTACATATGTACATACATGTTGGTACATAATTATTGTAATATAATAAAATAATCTAGAATATTGTAATATAATATAATCTGGAATATTAAACTTTTAAAGTTTTGGTATGTTCTCTGTGGCAAAAGTTTGATAGTAATATATAGTGAATAAAAATATATAATGATAGATGATTGAAGTCTTTTTCAATGCAATATTTGTAAATTGTGATACATTTTAGAAGAAATACATCATGAGGTGGGTTGTAGTAATAGCTTTTAGATCAAAGATGAGACAATGTAGAGTATATTTTAGAGCAGAAAATATTTACTTATTTCCCTAAAATGTTAACAGTTTAATATGTTAACTAATGCTATACATTAGTAGACAGGAAGTTAATTCATATTTTTCTTGAATCCAAAAATTAATAATGGCAGACCTTTTATTTTAATGTGCAAAAATTTCTAGAAATCCATTCAAAGATGATAGCAAAAGTTGTCTAGTCAGTATTTTTCAAATTTTTTGATAATGTTATTCTTGATTGTTGAATAAATGATATATTTTGTTTCTTTTCATGCAGGTCTTCAAAGTTCTATATTTTAGCTCTCTGTGCTGAACTTCCTTCTCCCTTAAATTATTATAAACTTCTGCTGCTGTTTAATAAACGTGAAGATGTCTCGCAGTCCTGATGCGAAGGAAGACCCTGTGGAATGCCCTCTTTGCATGGAGCCCTTGGAGATAGATGATATCAACTTTTTCCCTTGCACCTGTGGCTACCAGATTTGCCGATTTTGTTGGCATCGAATTCGCACTGATGAAAATGGGCTTTGTCCTGCATGTAGAAAGGTAAATGCTTCAACATAACCTTATAGTTATGTATGTGTAATTGTATAGTTTTTTTTTTTTTTTAACTGTATGCTATTTTGTTCTCAGGAGATAGTTTTTCTTATTTATTTGACAGGTAGAGTTAGAGAGAGAAAAGTCTTCCTTCCGTTGGTTCACGCCCCAAGTGGCCGCTATGGCCGGTGAGCCATGGCGCCGGCCCCTAGAATGCACAGTTTAATACATGGATTTGTATTATTGACATTACTTTACAACAATCCAAAAGACAGAAAGAAATAAACTTCAGAAAGCCAATCAAATTAGCAACCTTACAGACTCGGGTGACTTTGAAAGTCACCACCTTCAAGGTTGGCACAGTGGCATAGCAGGTCACCAACACCCCATATGGGTGCCGGTTCAATTCCTGGCTGCTCTACTTCTGATCCAGCTCCCTGCTAATGCACCTAGGAAAGCAGAGGAAAAAGGCACAAGTGCTTGGGCCCCTGCACTCACTTGGGAGATCTGCAAGAAGCTCCTGGCTTTTGTCTAACCCAGTTCTGGCCACTGCGTCATTTGGGGAGTGAACCAGCGGATGGAAGATCTTTCTCTCTCTCTCTCTCTCTAACTCTGCCTTTCAAATAAAATAAATCTTTTAAAAACAAAATTACCACCTTCAATGAAACAGTTCAGTATGACTGTTTTCTATAGCTTCTAATAGCTAGAAACCAGTTTTTAAAATGTGATGAAATTTCAAAAATCATAAAGAAAAATATACATTTTTGACCACAATAAACATTAAGACTTTAACTTATTCTTCCATTCACAATTCTTTAAAGTATACTAAATGTACAAAATTATACTACATTATATAGAAATATAGAAATAAATTAGGCAAATTCTATAATAATGTTACAGATATTTGCAGTAATCCCTAAGAGAACAAATAATGTCCTTTAAGATAGAAATGTGCAGTTCTATCTTTTCTAATAATTCATTCATTACACTGTAACTATGTTGCAGACGCTTGTCAAAACAACAAAACCCACAGAATATTTTTTTTAAATCACCGGTTTTTAGAGTTAGAAGGGGTTTTTAAATACAATAGTTCAGAACAAAGATCTAGGACTCAAAAGATGTATCTAAATCCCAAAGCTACTACTCTTAAGTTGATAACTCCAGATAAGTTACTTAAATTCTTTAAACTTTTATTTCCTTAAATATAAAATGGAAATATGAATATCAGCCCAGAATTGTTATAAGGGCTCAATAAGTAAGCAGCTATTATCTTCTGAACTCAGATTTCTCTGTCATTTTAATCCACCTTAGTAAACATCTTTTTTTCTATCGTGTACTAGAAAACTAAAGCCAATTTACCTCCACATGCAATATGAAATGTGTTTTCTAATTTCATACCATTCTATCCAAATCCATTACCTCTCCATTCCTAATCCTCTTAAACAGTAAGCACCACTGACCATATGTCCAGTTAGTTAACCACAAGGCCAAGACTTGCCCTGACTCCCAGTGCAATATTCATTCTTAAAAATATGCTACACCTGGGCCCGGTGCCGTGGCTCACTTGGCTAATCCTCCGCCTGCGGCGCCAGCATCCCATATGGACGCCGGGTTCTAGTCCCGGCTGCTCCTCTTCCAGTCCAGCTCTCTGCTGTGGGCCCGGGAGTGCAGTGGAAGATGGCCCAAGTGCTTGGGCCCTGCACCAGCATGGGAGACTGGGAGGAAGCACCTGGCTCCTGGCTTTTGATTGGCGCAGCGCTGGCCAAGGCAGCCATTTGCGGGGTGAACCAACGGAAGGAAGACCTTTCTCTGTCTCTCTCTCTCTCTCACTGTTTAACTCTATCTGTCAAATAAAAAAAAGATTGTCCATATAGAAAATTAAGCTATCTGGGAAATCACAATGAAAATGTTTTCAGTCCTAAGATTACCTAGAATTACTTCTCATCCTTAGAAAATAGAGGGCAATAGAAAAATAGAAGATTTTTAAAAAGAAAAGCAAAATAATTTTAGCAAAATTGATCATCATTAAAAGGGTACTCTGGCAAGACTAAACCATGTGAGGAATCTCTGAAAGACTGAAAGCCACTGAGTTCAGTTCTAGGAAGGAAGGATTAGCTTAGGAAACTACTGGAGAGAGGTATAGCAGTGCCAGGGCAAACATCAGTGTGGTTGGCTGAGTGTGGTGCCAGAGCAGCCAGGTGGCTTTTGTCTTCCTCTTGTCTGATGCAGTGGAGATAGAAGCCCTCCAGTTAGAACACGGTTATAAATTCGGACCAGAGCTTTAAGGTGAATGGAAACACACTGTGGTAATGAAGGCGCGTCTTGAAGTAAACAGAAAATAGCACATATAGACAGGTTGACAATATTCTCAAATGTGAAGATATACAACAGCAGAGAATCAGCATGGATTTCAGAAAAACCATCACAAAAGTGGTGATTCTACAAAATTCAGTAAATAGAAGATTTTCACATAAGGAAGCAAACAGAACTTTAAGTGCCATTAGTTCCTTTCAGAGATGATAGATATAGTATATTTACATGATAGTATATTCATGTAAAAAGATTTTTCTTTTTAAGAAGCACCAGTTAGATCTTTCAGATAACCTGAAGAGCAGAATAGATACAATTCAGGAGCACATGTACTAAGCCTTTTTTCTTTCATATAATATGATGCAAAAAGATAAAAAATAAAAAGCATGAAAGAAAAGCTAAGTAGTATAGGAAATCTTTATGATCTAGTCTCTGTGAGAGCAGTTTCATAAGGAGTGAACTAAAAGTGGATAGGAAGAAGTGATCAAGAAATAATAGAAAATTCCTCGTGATGAAAAGCAGCTGTCCTCAGAAGGGCTGAGTGTGAAGCAGTATGACTGAAAATGAGGAATATGTCTAAGTCTTTGTGTCATTGCTGGAATAGCTAGGATAAAGGAAAAGTTTAAAAGCTCATGAGATATAACCGTATAGCCTATGAATTAACAAGCATAAAATCTTTTTGAAGATTTATTTGTTTATTTGAAAGTCACAGTTATACACAGAGAGAAGGAGAGGCAGAAAGAGAGAGAGAGAGAGGTCTTCCATCTGCTGGTTCACTCCTTAACTGGCTGCAATGGCTAAAGCTGTGTTGATCCAGAGCCAGGAGCCAGGAGCCAGGAGCCTCCTCTGGGTCTCCCACGTAGGTGCAGGGGCCCAAATACTTGGTCCATCTTCTACTGCTTTCCCAGGCCACAGCAGAGAGCTGGATCGGATGTGGAGCAGCTGGGTCTCAAACCAGCGCCCACATGGGATCCGGCATTGCAGGTGGTAGCCTTACCCACTATGCCACAGTGTTGGCCCCAACAAGCATAAAATTGATATTAGTATTTTCATTTAAAAACCATAGAAAAATAACTGAAATTTGTTTTTATAAATATTGAAGGTAAATAACTTTGAAATAATTCTCAATTGATTTAATAGGTAAAAGCATAATCAAGCATTTTCAGACATGTAAAGATTAATAAAATTTATATTCATGAATCACCATATAGACAAGTAGAAAAGTTGAGAACAGTGGTAAAATTTTGAACTGAGCAACTGGAGGTAAAGAATTATCATTAACTGAAATGGATAAGACTACAACAAGAGTAGGTTTCTTGAGAACAGGAATTCAGTTTTAAAAATGTTAAATTTGAGAATCCTTTTAGAAATCTAAATGGAAATAATGAGCAGACAGGTAAATATTCACATCTGGATATCAGGTTTTGATTGAGTATGGAGATAATATATTTGGGAGTCATCAGTGTATATAGGGTTGCTACTCATAAAAACACGAGATGATACAAGATCATGAGTGAGAGTAAATAGAAAAATCAGAGATTGTCTAAGGATGTGCACCAAGCTTCTCCAATATTTGTAAGAAAATATAAATCTGATTACAGCACTCAACAAACTAAGGTCTCCAGGTTAAAAGTTTTTGGGTGAAGCAGTTATTCATAAGGCCAGGAGTTTTGTTTTCTTGTTAATGTCACCACATCTCTAGAAACTGCTCCTTGATATCTTAGTCACCAAACCTTCTTGCCTGTAGCTCTCATGGCTGGAGTGGGTCATGGAAAGCACACAGAACAACCAACACAATCTTGCCAGAATGTATGCTGGGGACAGAATTAATAATTATGAAGTTATACATTGCAGTAAGGAACCAGGAAGTCTTTGGTTCCTGGAGACTAGCCCCATCGATTGCATTAACAAAGAGAAACCCACAAGTGTTTCTACTCCTGGAGAGAGCTATGACGCTCTCATTTACACTCAGCTCAGCCCTGCAGGGGAAGGCCACACTGTGAGGTAGCTAGCTGAAGCAAGCTTCTTGTTTCATTCCATAGGGTAAAACTGCCCATTTTGCAGAAAACTTCCTTTGCTTTAATATACTTTGAAAAGCAAAGTTGGACAGATTATAAAAACTAAGAATGTTTAGTGTCTCTGGTTGCTTACTCATGGTCCTAGGCTGTCTGGTTATTTCTCAGACAGCCTTTGTGTGTCCTTCAGGGCAACATTTCTGAGAAAAATACTATTGGAAATAGGGAATGTGAGAATATAGGTGATTAATTGATGTAGCCTCCTATAATATTGACGTGGGAACCAAGAGACTGGACAAGGAATAAGAACTTCAACAGAAATAATGTTTTCATCTTAGAAATAATAGAAGATATCATGTCTGTGAAACAAGAACAGTATATTTTTAAAAAAGAACATTCACTGAACAATAATAGTTAATGAAAATGAAAAATAGCAAAAGTAGTTGAGTCCCTGTGCCTGCGTAGGAGACCCGGAAGAAGCGCCTGGCTCCTGGCTCCTAGCTCCAGATTGGTGAAACTCCGGCCATTGCAGTTTCTCTCTCTCTCTCTCTCTCACTCTCGCTCTCTCTCTGCCTCTCCTTCCCTCTCTGTGTAACTCTGCTTTCAAATAAATAAAATAAATCTTTAAAAAAATATATCAGAATACTATAGACAAAGAAATTTCCAAAGGAAACATAGGTCACA